ACAGCCAATGCATTCCCTACTCGACTCTCACACCTGCTCTCAGAGAGAACTCTTCAACAAATCGACATATTCGAACAGTGGAACCACATTTACCGCCGCCGAAAAATTCAGCGAGCCCGAAAGAATAACTCAAAGAAAACAGCTAGTCGATAAATCGAAAATCAACGGATTTTCGAATAGGTGTTTGTGAGCGGTTAGTTGAAAAGGTCGAAAAGAAACGGTTAGTCGATTAAGTGAAGTCGACTATATTTTGAAATAACTTTCGACTAATCGATTAACAGGTAGGTACACGATATCGCACCGAAAGAACCGATATAGTAAAATATTATTATATATTCAAAGTATCGCTGTAAAAATATCGGGTACCCATTATTATCGGGATCAAAAGACCCGATATTTCCAAAATCAATACCAAATTCAAACAATTAAATCTGAATATTGGGCTCTGTAAAGCCAAAAATATAACCATATTGCTTTACATCTCAATTCCAAAGTGTAGATATATGGGCTGTTCCTGCGGTAAGTTATAGTACGACATAGATTTGCAATAAATTGAACCGCTAGGGTGCGCTTAAGTCAAAATAAAAAATATATTCGACATAAAATTCATATTATATTTGCGTTAAAAATTAATTTAGAAACAATATTAGCAAAAAATTTTCAATGGAGATTTTAGTAGCGTAATGTCCTGTAACGTGACGTCAGACACATTAACTTTGTAATGCGTCTTTGCGATTCGATACGATACAATGGGTCTGGTACTCAACTCCAAAAATATCGTTTGATAACTATTGATTAAAAAGTATCGGTATCGAATGGAAAAATATCGATATAACATCGTATCGAAATTCGTGTCCCTATTAGAAATAAAGAAATTCTAAGAGACCGCAGCATCGAATTGTTTTATTCACGATTACTGGGCCTATATCTTCAGGCACAGTTTTACACTGTTCTCGGTTCAGTCTGAACCATTCCCTACTCGACTCTCACACCTGCTCTCGGAGATCACTCTTCAACAAACCGACATATTCGAACAGTGGAACCACATTTACCGCCGCCGAAAAATTCAGCGAGCCCGAAAGAATAACTGGTACGATGAGCTGCAGAGAAAAAAGATGCCGCCTACAGTCCAACGCTGCGATCGGGCGCAACACGCGCTGTGTGGGACCGCTTTAGCGATTTGAGGAGGGAAGCGAGACGTATTTGCCGCAATAAGAAAAGAGAGGCCGAAATACGTGAGTGCGAAGAGCTTGAAATGCTGGCCGGCAGGAAGCGACTTACGGAAGGTTTCAAGACCAGGGGCCTGTAATACAAAGTTTGCAATTGTAACAAGTCTACAAGTTGTTAGTGATTAGCTTCTATCTACAGGTTCTATTATTTTTTGTAACACAATATTATCAGCGAAATATTCTATACTTGTAGTTTCTACAAGCATTGGTCGGCGAAAATCCTTCGGCTGAACCCTCCACGAGGGTGCCAACTGAAAATGGCCACAACAATTTAGGTTCTGTACGATGTCAGAATGGTGTCCAGCTAAGATCAGAAATCAGTGCTATGTGCTTAAGCTCTTCAATAGCTAAGTTATATGGAAATGGCCTATGGAGGTAATGGAGGAGCAAACCTCTTTAAAAAAGCTCTGGGTTGGAACAAGGTGTTAGACGACCCGTGCTGATGTTCAGCCTGGCTGGGGACCCAGATTAACAAATAGCCCAGTTTCGAACGGAGTGCTCCGGATACCTGGCGACCTCCGGTTCTATCAAGCCCTACCTGCGCACACGTGGGACCAAAATTATGAGCACAATTCAATTCAATAAAAAATACACAAAGGAGGACGGCCCTCCAAAAAAACCGACAGGTGTGGCTCCAGTTAATGCTACAGCCTCGAGCAGGG